TAGTAGTAGTAGTAGTAGTAGTGGTAGTAGTGGTAGTGGTAGTAGTAGTAGTAGTAGTACTACTACTACTACTACTAGTAGTAACAGTAGTAGTAGTAGTAGTAGTAGTAGTAGTAGTAGTAGTAGTGGAAGAAGCAGTAGTAGTAGTTAGCCGGACATGTCCTCCAATGACACTCGCAGCCCCACTGTTGGCACTACCTACAATAGGGGATAGAACCTCACGAGGTTGAACCCAGAGAGTGCCAGGGTTGCAGCCTCGGCGTCGTGTGCTTGCTCGCGTGTTGTCCGAAGCCTGGTTAGAGGGCAGGTTTAGCGTTTGGAGCGAGGACTGCTCAAAGGTCAGAATGGCATTGATTCCATTCCCTCGGGCCGTCAGACGACATACGAACTTGAAACACACCGGGATTGTGCGGGGATCATGCTGCTTCTCTTTCCGGCTCTCAATGTGACCATTAAGTCTCCAACGAACTTGTATGCACACCCCAAGCACGCCTGTAGTATCCTGGGAACACATCCCGCTAAATATTTCCGACAGGACATTGCAGCCCGCAGTGCCTGCTGAGCGGGAAGCTTCAGGAATGTCCGCGCTGCTTGCGGCTCATTTTTTTGTTTTATTAGATTAGAAACATTTTATTTGAGCTGCTGTGCCTGACTGTATCCTAGCATTGCAAAGACCTAGACGATCAGGCTGCTTGCGGCTTCGACATCTACCAGTACGGTAGGGTGGGGTTTGGAGCCCCGGATCTGTCTCACCAATTTCTAGCAGAGGGTCCTGACCCCAAGGCTCGCAAGCAGATGTTGTGCCTCAGAGAAGTTTTGCAAATACCGTCATATGAAGTTGCTGGATCTTATTGGCGACTTTGGCAAGCTTCGGGAAACGGTGGCAGGTGGATCGTCTAGATTTTAGACGACAATCTGCATTATGAAATACATAGTGTCTAGACATAGCTTTCGATATAAATACCCACGTCATCATGATTCTACATACCTGGTTTTATTAACTATCTCCCCACGTGCCCGTGCCCTGTCTGTATCTGTAAGTGCACAGGGGCGATTGAATGCAACGGCAGTCTTGGATCGGAGCTCTGCCCGCAGCTTCTCAACTTCTGCCTTCAGGAAATGCCATGACAAGACTTTGCAGAAGACAAAGTGCCGTCTTATGCTGTCTGAATGCATCGGCAGAGATTCCCTGCAACTGCAGCGGCTGAAGCTGCTTATCAACAGCACTGCAGCAGTTCACAGCCACATGCCTCTCAGCCATCGCGAAAAGCTCCGCTGAGAACCCCCAAACAGAATACTTCAAGGGCTGCGTCAAACGGGCTCGCGTCCCCAGATCGTTTCCCTTCTCGCAGCGGTACATAGCAGCGACATAGCACTGCCTTGACGACATTCCCAGCACTCCGGCGATCCCCCTCCAGCCGTCCTACCCCCAACTTCTGCCACCGCAACGGTAAGCGGCGCAGGAGAACAGAACATGGGTCAAGCATGAACCCGTTGCAGCACCTCTCGTACGACAGCCCTGCCTGGCCTCTGCTTCCTGGAACTGCTGGCTGACTTTGTGCAGCCTCGGCTTGCAGTTTTGGTGGCCGCCTCTTGCGTTCTTGCAGCCACTGAGATGCTCTCTGAGCGTATTTGGACAAATACGACTTGCATAAGAAAGTTAAAACTGCTCTACGTCAGACTACGTCGCTGTTGCGGGACTGATTCCCACATAAATCTCGACAGTGCTAGCTTGTTGGACTTTATGGACCTCGAGCCGACACACCTTCTTTTCTCACACGTCTGAGCTGTCGTGTTCGACTTCGGAAGCACATTTTGTCGTGTAACAAAAGCAATAAAGCAAACCAACTCACATGGATAACAGCGACAACAGTCAGACAACGTGCGGCTTCAGAAGTCGAGAAGCTTTGCCTGGACATCACGCCGTCCTCATGCTTAGGAAGCTTGGAGCAAAAGCTCTGGTTCGCATGGAACATGATGCCGCGAGCTACTGTTATGCATCCGGGTCCTAACAAGGCCTGCGCAAGTGATAGGAAGCACCCGTGTTCAGGCAAAAAGTACATGGCATGGTTATCGAAGCCAGCAAGCGCCATGATAAATGGGAATCAAGTCGCCCTGCAACCAGCAATACCTTATCTGCATCCGTTGAGCCCAACTTAACCTAACAAGAACCTCTACCTTGTTGGAAACTGATGTTATTGCTTCTAATGGCAATCGCAAAATCACTCATAGTAATACTAAAACCAATTTAATACTTTTTCGTGATAATGGCACTGCAAATGCGAAAAATGCTACTAATGTTACTAATGCTGCTGCTAATGCACTGCTTACTACTAGTACCAGGCTCCGCCCCCACGTCTGTCCACTACTTTATAACCCATAACCCAACTCCAAACTGCTGAATCCTACATTCCTGAACCCTACTCCCCTAGCTCCTAAACCCTGAAAAGACCAAGCTCCGAACTGCCCAGGACTCTTAGTTAATAAACTAAAGCCCCCAACCCTTTGAAACTCGACTGAGGGAAGCGCTCCATGCTCATCATGTTCTCAGAAGCCTCGCTTCATGCACATGCTTCAGCGGTCTAAACGGTCACACTCGGACAAGCCAGATGAGGTTTCAGGGTTCGCAGTCGGCTTTCAGGGACAGGGGCACACTGCCGCAACTGACGAAAGAACATTGAACTGAGCTGCCACGACAGAAAGAGTAGAATCATATTCTTATGTGCATCTCCGAACTAGTCAGACATGTCTGATCTTTTCTGCCTGAATTAAGCGGTTTCTGTCCAGGTGAGGATCTAGGTCCTCTAAGTAAAGATGCTTGCCAGCAGCTTTGGGGCTGAACTGGCAGTGGCCTGAGCATTGCCTGCCTTGCAAAAGGCAGTTCTAAAAGCCCAAGAGCATGAGCAATGAGAAAAAACTCATGCGCTCTTCCAGGACAGGTCAAAAGCTTGGGATTAAGTCTTGCATGCTTACGGCCAGCTGTGGTCAGCAAGCCCGCCGGGAAAGAGGTCCGAGATGCTGTCATCATTCTCAACCTCCGCCTCGGCTTCGGCAGTTTCTGTTTCATTCTCCGGCGTTAATCGCTGGTCTCCATGGGCATGCCACGCTTTGTTCGGGTCGTACTCGGTGCCGTCGGAATACGTGATGTTGGGGATTGGGCACCAAGCACCCTTGCAGCTCGTGCATTGTATCTCGTTGAGGGCGCAGTAATCATCTGGTGCAACAATGCCCGAAACGGGAAAAGCACTTCCACAAGGATCTGCTTTGTTTTTGAAGGCTTTGACGCACCTGGGCCCAGGGCACCACATCCCACCACAGCCTCCGCAGCGGGCCTTTTCGGAGCATGTGGAATCCTTTGCAACATCTGCGCAGGCGCCGCACATGCCATCTGCTCCATTCTCTCCGCGATAACAGCAGAAGCCATTGGTGTCTTCTGGTGCCACGTACACATTCTCCTCACGACCATAACTGTCCTCTTCAACTTTGAAATTGGATGCGTAGCCTGCTCGGCACCATTCTCCCTTGCAGCTGCTGCATGCGTCTTTGGACGTAGCGCAGTAACTGTCACTGACGGCAGTGCCTTTGGGGAATGCTGTGCCGCACATGTTGCCTGGATCAGCGGCACTCATAACGCATTTGGTTTCACACCAGGTCCCTTTGCACTCACCGAGGCAGAGGTTCTTTCTGGAGCACTTGCTCTTGTAGGATGCAATGGACATCGGATAGCAGGTGCCACAGGTGTCTTTCGGGTTCTCTCCACTGAAGCAGCAAGTGCCACCTTCTTCCTCCTCTCTCTGCTCCTGTTTCAAGGTCTCGTTGATTTTGCTGATCGTCTCCCCATCATCGTCGCCACTGTCTTCGACGGCTTGAGACGGGTCGGGCACGTAAATCTGAACCGTGTCGGAGCTTTCTGCCTGAGGCGTCTCTGGAGTCTCCTCGTCGGTGCTGACGGTGCCGTTCGATGCCAGCACCGGTGAAGTAGCCGAAGTAGCTGTCGAGTCTGTCATGTCGCTTGCGTCAGCATCGCCGGCGACTTCGTCAGTAGCATTGCTTTCCGACCGCACGCCACGAAGCTGGCGCAATGGCACCTCGATGTCCTCGGGGTGTGTGGCAGCCAAGACGGCGCTGATGGCGAGGATCACATGCAATGACTGCCGCAGCATAGCCGTGAACTAGGAAAGCGAGCACTGTTGGCTCTTGTATCCTACAAAATTGTGCTAAATGCAGCTTGAGCCGCATTAGTTTGTTTTGCAGTTCGGTTTGTAGGTTCACGGCTTAAGGTTCGGGCTTCAGGGTTCTAGGGTTTTGGAACTAACAAGAGGACTTAGTGTAAGGCTGGCAGCCTCGTGAATGATGAAAGTCGATGGCTTATGCGGCCGTCTCAGTTGCCTTGATGCTTTGGAGTTGCCACTTTTCCAGGCCCTTTTCGTTGATATACCACACATCTGAAGGGGCGCCCTAAAGCCCTTGTCTGCTGCGGGGTCCGTAAACGATATTCGACGACACGATGTTGAGAACGGGGCGGTTGGAAACGGTTGTCTCTGGCTTCGTTGTTGCATTTTACTTCGTTTTGACTGTTGCTAGCCTCACTATTGGTATCACCATCGACGGCAAGTTTTTCCTACTGCTAAGTCTTCCTTGCTACGCGAAAGGCATTTACGTAATAAGTACACTTTACAGGGATATCCCTATCCGAATTGCTGCCTATGTTGTTTTATGAGGCCCTTGACCAGGGTCTCGACTCGAACAGCACCAGATCAAACCGGGGGGCCTTCCTATAGAGACCTACTACTGCTGATGATATAAATCCTGCATTACCTTAAGGACCCTAAACTGTGGGAACCATGGTATATTCCTTATTATGGGTCATGCAGGATTTATATCATCAACCGTAGAATAAGGTTTTGGGTTACACTACCGTATGTTGGAAGCCTGCGCATCCTCCGCATGCTCGCGGGCGGCGAGGTGCCTGGCAACTTGTTTTTCTTCCTAGGTCTTCCTTCTAGGTATAGCCGGGGTGAGGTTGTCCTACTGCCCCTTCCATGCATACCTGCCGCTGTAAGACTTGCAGCCATGGCAAAACAACAGAACATAGTAGACATCTGCTTGATTGTAACCGCAACCAGTGGACGAACACCTTGCAAATTCTGTGAAACGCCTTGGCTTCATGGGCCTGGCATCTTGGGAGGCTGAGTGGCCGAACGGAGTTTTCCCCTTCTGTACATGAACTATACTTATCTCGTCATGGCTGCTGGCGCCTACGCAGCTTTGACCACACAACCACCGCCCAAACATGTAGGAAGCTGCAGTTAAGGCTTCGGATTTCGGGTGTACCCCTGGAAAGCCCCGTCTCGAACCAACTCAGATAAACAAAACCTTGTCATTGGAGATCTTGCGCCCTATTCCGATTATGCATCCCCGTAGAACTTCGGCTTCAAGGCTTCTGACAGCCTGTGCGGTCGCAACTTCGCAGCAAGGTCACCACCGAAATTCTTACTGAGTCATCCACCTCTGCCTCGAAGCCTCAAGCCTCAAACATCCCTAACCTTGAACAGGCCCAAAACCCATAAACTAAATTTAAACCTGAATGCTCGAACCATAGTCATAAAGCCAAGGAGTCAAGCCCAAGCTCGAGCTCGGAGACTCATGAAAGTGTGACTTTGCTGCTTTTTATCTCGGCATTTGAGGCATCGGCTGCCGCTGCTGCTCCTCGCTTTCTGCCTGCGGCTCCACGTCAAAGTTTGGGATATCATTACGGCACTGTGAAACACGCCGTCAAAACAATACATCTGACCAAAGCGGCACGATGAAGGCAGTAACTGGCCAGGGTATTGAAAGGCACGGGCCCTGTGTGCGCGGATTCCTTGAAAAGAAGCATCTGGTGCAACGTGTACTTTAGAGTTGCCTGAACGCCTGAGCTCAACTGCCAAATCCCCTTGTGTTCATTCTGCTTCTAACCCTAAACCCTAAAGGACCTAAACCCTGAACCCTAAGTACCCCCTAAAAAAACCCTACAGCCCTCCTTTGGCCTTGAGTCGATTCAGCTTCTCCTCGAGTCTTTGAATCCTGGCAGGTCGAAGCCAGCACATGCCCATCGATGTCTGCCCAAATTACCTATCTTTTCGGGGACGCTCGCCCTCAAATAAGGATGCCTGTGGTTAAGGGTACAGGGAGGGTGGAGCTGGTTCTCAAATATCGTCCTTCAAGGATTTGACCACATGACTTGCGATGATAAATTAAGCTGTTTGTTTAAACGAGTGCCCAGGGGGGGGCTCAGGCTCCAATTCAAACTTAGAACAGTCCCGACTTTGGGAATGCAGGCTGAATTCGAAGATGCTTGGGAAGCTATGAGGTCGTGTTACATACCGGTGACTCGCACTTAACCTGTTTCGAGGCGTTGGTGAGTGTTGAAGTGGTCAAGCCCCAGAATCCTGGAAAGCATCTCGACGTCCGAGGGGAGCAGATTCAACGGCGAGCTCTTCTCGCTCTCTGTTCGCCCCTCCTGGGAAAAACCCTGACTACAATCAACACCCGGTGAGATGCTTGCTCCCCTAGAACTTGCACCACAAAGCCAGTGGAATCGCAGCCGGTGCAGTTTGCAACCTGCTCTTTGACCTCGACAATTTTTGCAGAGCCGTGGGGCCTGAGGACGAAGGACTTAAGGGCTGGCAGAAACATGCCAGAAAGTCTCTTCTTTGTAGATGCTTTCGCTCGCCGATGCCTCCTGAAAGCTGATACCACATAAGGGCACTGGATTGGACATCAAACCCGAACTCTGCTACGCGCATGCCCGTAAAACGTTGGGCCAACACTGTGTTCAGTGCTCAGCATTTGCAGATATCCCTTATGTACACGTTGCAGTTCCCCAGACACCCAAAGCGAGATCCGGAGATATCCGGAGTCTGTGGTACTATAGTCACCGGTGAAGCACATTGAACTGCTGTAGGCTTTTCATACTCCGAAACCAAGAGCTGTAAGTGAACGAGGTTTTTCCCGTACTCAGCACAAAGCTGAGCAGCTGCGAAGTGAACGAAAACTTCTCCTTGCCCGCTCCGAAGTTTGCCTTGGGCAGAAGCCTGTACTCGTTACTCGAGGGCATCTGGCCCCTGAGACTAGATGTTGAGGGAGTCATAGACGTTGAAGGGTCTATGTCTATGTCCAGGTAGCGTCGCCTCCAGCTGTCGGACGAGCTCCTCTTTTTGAGCTTCGCGATGTGCGCACCTTTTGCTACTGCCAGGTCGGTTTTTGGGGTTTGCTGTAGGGTTCTAAATCCTCTGACAGTAAAGAAGTTGAAACAACGCAGTTGCTCTAATAACACTGCCCAAACTCCTACACAAGCTGTTATGTTGCAGTGAGCTCCAACTGACCAAAACAACAGTATTTGCCAACACACCAACATGCATAACACACTGGCGCTGCACCTGGGAGGGGTATAGGGTAGCGATGGAAAGCATGGGCTTTAGCGGGCTCTTGCACCGGACACTCCGCAAATCAAGCCACACCTTGGACGGTGAGGCCCGGACGTGGCTTGGAGCGACTGTTTCTCGTTCTCCAAAGCTTCCTCAAGAGCACTGAAGGCAAGGTGCGGCGCCCGAATCCCATACACTCTATAAGATTGGAGAAATGCTGGAGAAACGTTGGGCCTAAAAGGGGTCGGATGCTCAAGTACTATTCCACTGGCTGAACCCAGCTCATCCCACACTGAAGCAGCCGGCGCTTTTGAGGACAAGCCGGCAACAAATTCTCCCCTTCAAGCTCAAGCAAATAAAGAAATTGAAGCATGCACGGCTTTGTCTTCGGCAAGTGTTGGGGTCGAAACCTTGCACTCCAGAGTCCTCAAGTTTTCGGATAGACGCGCGATCCCCGGATCTCCCAGCTGCCGGTGTGGCACTCTCCGCTTACGTCCGTGCGCACGACCCAATGCTTGTCGATCTCTGTTCGGCAAGGTGTATCGAAGTTATTGAACCCAAGGGTAGTTTTATAGTTACCAATGCGCACGCACCACGACGCTACTGAAAGAGACGTGATCGGCGTAATCATCCGTAATTACTAAGCCTTGTGCCCTCTAGAAAGCAGCCCCGATGACCCTCCACAGTTAAGCCGAAATCCTAAACCAAGTGGGCACACTCAGCCAGCGACGACAGCTTTTTGCAGCTCCTGCGTCTGCCCAGAGAGGCTGTCACCCCTGGCACCAGCTGAGCTTCAGTTTGGGCTTCAACTCGCACACTCGGCCAAGGCATTAAGGCTTTTGGTGCTCGCACTCGGACTCTCCAGGCAGGCTTTCACACTCGGACTCCAGCTAAATACAAGGGTCCCACGAAAAGCAATTTCTTGGTGACGAGGGTCGCAGACTCCCCGGTTCTCAGAACTTGTGCCGAAAATTCGTCAAACCGATGCTCTGCCCCGATCGCAGAATCACTGCGGCCATACATCTCAAAAACCCTACTAGTAGTGAGCTCTTGTGCTACTGGCCTCAAGTCTAGCCAGACCACGACCTAGTACACTCTAAACCCTGAGCCGTAAACCCTGAGGCCCTCAGGGCTAACACCCAACCCCCTTTTTGAGAAAACCAGCCGCAGGTACAGCTCTTCATTGGCCCGGGTTGCTTTTCCGGATTCCTGCAGGCTGCGCATTGTGCTGGTGAGCAGGTGAGACTTAGATAATATGGGGCCCTCATAATTAGAGTAGGGTTTAGGATGGGTTTAGGGGTCCTGTATAGTACAAATATAATAAGGCACCCCCAAAATACAATTGGTTATTATTGCCCACCTATATTACACAGTCAGAACAAGCGAGCTCCAGTTTCCTGCATTGCACACTTTGGTTCAATAGATGCCGGCTCATTAACAACCACGTGCACAAACACAAACAGGCAGACACACACACACACAGCCTGACCATATATATATATATACACATACACACACAGAGCAGCTGTTGCTTCCGGATATGGCCTCAAGCTGCACTTGGAGGTTCTGGTTCTCTTCCTCAAGATGGGCGCACCTGCCGCGGACTTGCAGCTAAGGATGCTTCCGTTGGAAATCTGACAGCGGATGCTCTCTCCAGCAGGTCTGGCAGCGGACCTCTAACTTGACACACTGAAACTTTGCCGCCTAGATGTTTCAAAGCTCAGCTCACTCAAGCTGCAGGTTTCTGCATGTTG